GGAGGGAGAGAGAAAGAGTTCATGCCCGCGGACACACTTTTTGGGTACGCTTGTGTGACCAATTTGTACGTCGTTGTATGTGTATCATTGAACATTACTGTACCATTGAAACATGAATGTGACGAGTTCATTTCAGTGTTGAAGCTAAATCTTTGTAAGTTAATGTACTGGTATATCAACAAAAAAATTCCCCCCATGGATCAATAAACTTTATCTTATTGTATCTATTTTGCCTCTCTTTCCTGGAATATTTCTTTACAAAGAGGCCCTGTGTGGGTGGTAGGTGGCATCACTGGCATATCCTTCTACTTTTTATCTCTGTATTGGGCTGCCGTCTGTCTTTCATTCATTTAATTAATCCATTTATTCATTCATCCTTTCACTGATTTATTCATTCTTCCTCAACACTAAATGACTCCATGTGTCAGTTTGGTTCTCTTTGCTAAATAAATAAATAAATAAATAAATAAATAAATAAATAAATAAATAAATAAATAAATAAATAAATAAATAAATAAATAAATAAATAAATAAATAATTAAATAAAAACAACTTTGTTGTGATCCCTGTGGAATAACCTTAATTGAAGGGCATCAGGAGTCTAGCATTACACCACTGGACTCATAATCTTGGGGTTGTGGGTTCGAGACTTCGAGTGTCACAGCGATCGGTCCGACTCCGTGTCCTTGAGAATGGCGCTTTACACGAATTTTCCCATTTGGCTCGGTCTCACCAGATTTTGGACTTTCAATTAGTAGGTCCAGCTTCTTTAATGACTTTACAGTGTTGAAGGGGGCGTAAAACCTCTTATGCCCACAATGAGAAGACGTGAAAATCATGATTCTCAACACTGCTATTTATAAAGGTAACTTGAATGAAACGATTTTTGAATTAGTCAAGTTAATGAAATAAATAATATACCCCCCCCCAAAAAAAAGAAACATAACCAAAGGAAAAAACATAACTATAGCACAAAACAAACAAAGGAGATACAAATCTGAACATAGTATGGGCCTTTACAGTTTATGTTTTAAAAAATGTTAACCAAAAAGTACGCACGCGATTTTTGCACTTTCGTCCTTCATTGTGTCTGGTAGGGTGTATTTTTTAAACACTAACTCGTCGATCAGCTGTTCACGACATGTACTAAGTTAAAAATTGAGGGGTTTTCTTGTGGTATTGGTTGCATATGCTGGAGAAATGTTTGGTCCAAATTCAGGTGTGCCCCGTGTTATGTTGCACTACAAAAATTAGTCATCTTGTACCTCCCTCCCCCCTCGTCTCTCTCTCTCTCTCTCTCTCTCTCTCTCTCTCTCTCTCTCTCTCTCTCTCTCTCTTTCTCTCTCTCTCTCTCTCTCTCTCTCACACACACACACACACATACACACACACACACACACACACACACACACACACACACACACACACACACACACACACTCACATACATTCTTCTCCATCATAAAGAAAAAAAAACCCAAGAAAAACGCCGAGATCTAGATCTTTTTGTTCCTATTCATATATTATAAATAAATTGATACCCCAGTCTTTAGTCAGAAGACATATATTCGCTGCAGGTTCACCAGACTCCCGTAGAGTTTTGAGATTCCCTGCCTAGCGTAAAACCAATAATAATATTTCCTTTTAGTTTACTTTTAGTAAGTGTTTTACGACACTTGCAACACAATAAGGTAATTTAAGTGTCGAAGATTAGAGGGATTACAAGAGAGTAACAAACACAAAAAAGAAGGAGGGGAGATAAAGCCGACAGACGTTTGATAGGAAAGAAGAAGCAAACCACACCAGTGCACCCATCAACCACCCACATATTTCCTTTGATTTAGATAAACACAAACAATTAAAACAAGAACAATACACACATATCAAAAGACGTAAAATAAACAACGTGTGGACGATGATATCAAATAATCTGATTTTCTCATATTTATTAATTTTCTACCAAATGTTAAAGCTTCTCAATTCTAGATCAAAAAGAGGTATACACATTGTCATCTTATCATATATGTACATAAATATATTATTATTGTGGGAAATTGAAATAATTTGAAATTCAATGCTATGTACACATTATGTTTATCATATGCGTTCAAAATGAGCATGCTTGTGCAGGACAAGAAAGAGAAACGTGTTCGCTGAAAAGGTTCTCTTTATGCATTGCAGTACATCGATTTCAAATATTTATTTTAGAAGATTCAAATTAGAATGTACTAGTTTAAGTCTCTCTCTCTATCTCTTTCTCTCCCTCTCTCTCTCTCTCTCTCTCTCTCTCTCTCTCTCTCTCTCTCTCTCTCACTCTCTCTCTCTCTCTCTCTCTCTCTCTCTCGGTCTCTCTCTAACTACCTCAGCAAACTCACAGGCTTTTATTTAACTGTTACAAGTGGTAACTCATTAATAAATTAATAAAACACTCTGATTATAATAATATTATCTAATGAGAAAAATATTCATTTTATACTATGCGAAATAAAATACAAAGATGCATTTGATCGGCTAATGAGAAAAATATTCATTTTATACTATGCGAAATAAAATACAAAGATGCATTTGATCGGCCCGTCCAGCATGTTGTCTGATTGTCTTAGAGCAAAATCTATTGATAAACGGAAAGAAAACAAAACATCTCTCGCAGAATCATACAAAACAAAGACAAATGTGAAAAAAACTAAAGACAAAAAGAAAAAAAATATGATAAACAGTACATCACTGATTTGAATACAATAATATATGTATGCACTTGAGCGGCAAACGGAAAAGCGTGGATTAGTTTATTTTAAAGCTTTTTAAAGATTAAAATGCATGGATCACTTTTCAGTTCACCCTTTGAGGCTAATGATAATAAATTTGATGACGATAATCATCATCATCATCATCATCATCATCATCATCATCATCATCATCATCATCATCATCATCATCATCATCATCATCATCATGGTGGTGGGAAGAACACCATCATCATCATCATGGTGGTGGGAAGAAGAAGAAGAAGAAGAAGAAGAAGAAGAAGAAGAAGAAGAAGAAGAAGA